CTCTGCTGCTGCTGGTCCTTCGCTACTGCCACTGCTCTATCCATTCACAGTTTCAAAACTGCTTCCACATTTTAGGTATCTGTTAGAGCAGCACCCCACTCTGTCGGTACCAAATTCTGTCTTAGTTAGTGCTGCTCTAACAGAAATACCACAAGTGGATGCCTTTAACAAAGAGAAGTTTATTCTCTCACAGTCCAGTAGGCTACAAGTCCAAATTCAGGGAGTCAGCTCCAGGGGAAGGCTTTCTCTCTCTGTCGGCTCTGGAGGAAGGTCCTCCTCATCATCAGTCTTCCCCCAGACTAGAAGCTTCTCTGTGCAGGAACCTCGGGTCCAAAGGACGTGCTCTGCTCCCAGTGCTTCTTTCTTGGTGGTATGAGGTCCCCCTCGAAAACTTTTAAGACCCCCAACGCTGCTGGTCAAAGTGGGATGTAGAACATTTTCTTAACAAACTTTATTATGTTAATTGATCTAGATGTCCCCTGAAACTATGAAAACAGGCTGAAAAGCTGCTATTTTTGAGTGGGGCCCAGAACAACAGAAGGCTTTACAACAGGTTCAGGCTGCCATGCAAGCTGCCATGCCACTTTGGCCATATGATCCAGCTGATCCAACGGTGCCAGAAGTGTCCATGGCAGATAGAGATGCTGTTTGGAGACTTTGGCAGGTCCCTATTGGTGAATAATAGTACAAACCCTTAGGATTTTGGAGCAAAGCCTGCCATCCTCTGCAGGTAACTACTGTCCTTTTGAGAAACATTGTTTGGCTTGCTACTATGCTTTAACAAAGACAGAATGCTTAACCATGGGCTACCAAGTCACCGTATGGCCTGAGCTGCCCATCGTGAACTGGGTGTTGTCTGACCCAGAAAGCCATAAAGTTGGATGTGCACAGCAACACACCATCATTAAATGGAAGCAGTATATATGAGACCGGGCCTGAGCAGAACCTGAAAGCACAAGTAAGTTGCATGAGGAAGTGGCCCAAATGCCCATGTTCTCCACTCCTGTCACACTACCTTCCATCTCCCAGTCTACACCTATGGCCTCGTGGGGAGTTCCTTATGATCAGTTGATTGAGGAGGAGAAAACCTGTGCCTGGTTTACAGATGGTTCTGCGAGATATGCAGGCACCACTTGAAAGCGGACAGTGGCAGCATTACAGCCCCTTTCTGGGACCTCCCTGAAGGACAGCGGTGAAGGGAAATCCTCCCAATGGGCAGAATTTTTAGCAGTGCACTTTGTTCACTTTACTTGGAAGGAGATATGGCCAGATATGCGATTGTATACTGATTCATGGGCTGTGGCCAGTGGTTTGTCTGGATTGTCAGGGACTTGGAAGTAACATGATTGGAAAATTGGCAATAAGGAGGTATGGGTAAGAGGTATGTGGATGGACCTTTCTGAATGGGCCAAAGAAGTGAAGATATTTGTGTCTCATGTAAATGCTCACCAAAGGGTGACCTCAGCAGAGGAGGATTTTTAACAATCAAGTGGATAGGATGACACGTTCTGTGGAAACCAGTCATCTTTCCTTAGCCACTGTTGTCATTGCCCAATAGGCTCATGAACAAAGTGGCTGTGGTAGCAGAGATGGAAATTATGCACAGGCCCAGCAACATGGACTTCCACTCAACAAAGCCTACTTGGCTACAGCCACTGCTGAGTGCCCAATCTGCCAGCAGCAGAGACCAACACTGAGTCCCTGATGTGGCACCATCCCTTGAGGTGATCAGCCAGCAACCTGGTGGCAAGTTGATTACACTGGACCACTTCCATCATGAAAAGGGCAGCGTTTTGTTCTTACTGGGATAGACACTTACTCTGGATATAGATTTGCCTTCCTTGAATGCAATTCTTCTTCCAAACTATCATCCAAGGACTTACAGAATGCCTTATACCGTCATGGTATCCCACACACCATCGTCTTGGATCAAGGGACTCACTTCACAGCAAATGAAGCGCAGCAATGAGCCCATCATGGAATTCACTGCTCTTACCATGTTCCCCATTATCCTGAAGCAGGTGGCTTGATAGAATGATGGAATGGCCTTCTAAAGACACAATTACGGCACCAGGTAGGTGGCAATACCTTGCAGTATTGGGGCGATGTTCTCCAGGAGGCTATATATGCTGTAAATGAGCATCCAATATATGGTGCTGTTTCTCCCATAGCCAGGATTCATGGGTCCAGGAATCAATGGGTGGAAACGGGAGTGCCAACATTCACAATTACCCCTAGTGACCTACCCGCAAAATTTTTGCTTCCTGTTCCCACGATCCTATCCTCTGCAGGTCTAGAGGTCTTAGTTCCAAAGGGAGGAATGTTCCCACCTTGAGACATATCACTGATCCCGTTGAACTGGAATTTAAGAATGTCACCCAGCCACTATGAGCTTCTTATACTTCTGGATCAACAGGCAAAGAAAGGATTTACCATATTGACTGGTGTGATTGATCTTGATTACCTAGAGGAAATTGGATTTATATTACATAATAGAGGTAAAAAAAGAGTAAGTCAGAATGTAGGAGATGCCTTCGGGCGTCTCTTAGGACTATCAGGCCCTGTGATTAAAGTCAATGGAAAACTACAGCAACCCAATTCCAAAATGACTACTAATGGTTCAGACCCTTCAGGAATGAAGGTTTGGGTCACCCCACCAAGCAAAGAACCATGACCAGCTCAAGTGTTTGCTGAGGGCAGAGGGAATACGGAATGTGTGGTAGAAGAAGGTAGTTCTAAATACCAATTATGACCACATGACCAGTTGCAGAAATAAAGACTGTAATTGTTATGATTATTTCTTCCTTGTACCTGTTCCTCAAATATTTTTGTTTTCTTCACTTATAAAATATAAGATATAAACAGGGCTGGTGCATTTTTGGTTGTACACATGATAGTTGTATCATGTTAGGTGCAAGTATGACTTTATAATTGCCTTTATTCAGAGATTATGTATGGTTTAAGGAGATGTGTACAGGGGCCAAGTTGACAAGGGGTGGACTGTGGTGGTTAAGGTTGTGTATCAACTTGCCTGGGCAATGATTCTCAGTGGTTTGGCAGTTATAATGTAGTTTCACAGTCATATAATGATGTAATCACCTCCATATAGTCATGTAATGATGTAATCACCTCCATGATGTGATCTGCTGTGAGTAGCCAATCAGTTGAAAGGGAGTTTCCTTTGGATTTGGCCTGCATCCAATATCGGTGGACTTTCTGGCAAGGCTCGTGGGCTTTTGCTTGCTCTGCATCCTGCAGCTGGCTCTAGTTCATCTGACCCCTGGTTCTTGGAACTTGAGCTAGCAGCTTACCTGGCGTCTTGCCTGCCAATCTTGTGATTTGTCAGTCTCCGAAATCTATAAACCAGAGCCCTGCTGTCTCACCTGTTTATCTTGGGTTTGCCAGACACTACAGCTAAGTGAGTCAGAAGAAGCCTCTAACCTGACACATGGACTTGGGACTTTCCAGCATCTACAACCACGTGAGGCATTTCCTTGATATAAATCTCTCTGTATATATATTTATACACTTTACTGGTTTTGGAGCCCTGGGGGCGCAGTGGTTAATAACTCGGCTGCTAACCAAAAGTTCAGCAGTTCAAATCTACTAGCCACTCCTTGGAAACCCTATAGGGAAGTTCTACTCTGTCCTATAGGGTTGCTATGAGTTGGAATTGACTTAACAGCAATGGATTTGGTTTTTTTGTTTACTGGTTTTGCTTCTCTAGAGAACTCAGCCTAAGACACTAGTGTATAGAAACTCGCCTGATTTTTTTTTTTTTACCTTGTCCTTATATGCAGCCACTTTGCTGAATTCATTTATTAGGTCTTGTAGATTTCTTGTGGATTCTTCAATGTTTTCATGTCATCAGCGAAAGGGACAGTTTTAGATCTTCCTTCCTGATTTGGACACCTTTAATTTCTTTTTCTTGCCTAATTGCTCTGACTAGGACTTCCAGTACAATATTCAATAGCAATGGTGAGAGAGAGGGAGCATCCTTGTCTTGTTCTTGCATCTTAAGGGGAAATCTCTTAGTCTTTCTCCATTGAGTTATGGATTTTTCATCAATGCTGTTTATCAGATCAAGAAATTTCCCTTCTATTCTTAGTTTGTTGAATTTTTTTTTTTTTTATCACCAAAGCGTGTTGAATTTTGTCAACTGCCTTCTCTGCATTGATCAAAATGACCCTATGGTTCTTTTTCTTTGTTCCATTAATAAGGTGTGTTACATTGATTGATATTCTAATGTTGAACCACTCTTACCTTCCTGGGATAAATCCCACTTGATCATGGTATATAATCCTTTTAATATGCTTTTTGATTTGGTGTGCTAATATATATATATATATATGTATGTATGTATGTATGTATATATGTACGTATATGTATTGTTTTTGTTAGGTGCCGTCGGGTCGGTTCCAACTCATAGCGACCCTGTGTACAACAGAACAAAACACTGCCCTGTCTTGAGCCATCCTCACAATAATGGCTATGCTTGAGGAGCCCATTGTTGCAGCCACTGTGTCAATCCATTTCGTTGAGGGTCTTCATCTTTTTCACTGACCTTCTACTTTACCAAGCATGATCTCCTTCTCCATGGACTGAACCCTCCTGATAACATGTCCAAAGTATGTGAGGGCAAAGTCTTGTCACCCTTGCTTCTAAGGAGCATTCTGGTAGTACTTCTTCCAAGACAACAAATTTGTTCGTTCTTTTGGCAGTCCATGGTATATTCAATATTCTTCACTAACATCACAGTTTAAAGGCATCGTGTATGTATATTGTATATAAAACCAAAACCAAACCCGTTGCTTTTGAGTCGATTCTGACTCATAGCAACCCTATAGGACAGAGTAGAACTGCCACATATGGTTTCCAAGGCACACTTGGTAGATTCGAATGGCCAACCTTTTGGTTAGCAGCTGTAGCTCTTAACCACTACACCACCAGTGTTTCAATATATATATATATACACACACATATATATATACATACATATATAAAATATGGAATACTTCATGAATTTGCATGTCATGCTTGCGTAGGGGCCATGCTAATCTCTGTATCTTTCCAATTTTAGTATATGTTCTGTCAAAGAGAGCACTGATGTACTAATAATTTGTTAAGGATTTTTTTTTTGCATCTATCCTCATAAGGGAAATTGTTCTGTAGTTTTTTTTCTTGTGTGTCTTTGTCTGACTTTGGTATCATGGTAATGCTAGCCTCATAGAATGAGTTAGGAAGCGTTCCCTCCTCTTCTATTTTCTGGAAAAGTTTAAGAAGGATTGAGGTCACTTCTTCTATAGATGTTTGATAGAATTCCCCAATGAAGCCATCTGGGCCAGGATTTTTCTTTGGGAGGTTTTTAATTACCGATTCAATCTCTTCACTTATTATGAGTTTTTTAAGATCTATTTTTTTCTTGAGTCAATGTCGCAAGTTTATGTGTTTTTAGGAATTTGTCCATTTCATCTAAGTGATCAAATTTGTTGGTGTAAAATTGTTCATAGTATTCTCTTATAATCCTTTTTATTTCTGTAGGGTCAGTTGTAATGTCCTCACTCTTATTTCTGATATTTACATCTTCTCTCTTTTCCTTGTCAGTCTAGCTAAAGGGTTGTTAATTTTATTGATCTTTTTAAAATATCAGCTTCTGGTTTTGTTGATTCTCTCTGTTGCTTTTCTACTCTCTATTTCATTTATCTTTGCTCTGATGTTTGTTATTTCCTTCTTTCTGGTAGCTTTGGGCTTAGTTTGCTCTTTTTCTAGACACAAAAGTTACATTATTGATTTGCAATCTTTCATCTTTCTTATTGTAGGTGCTTACGGCTATAAATTTCCTCCTGAACACTGCCTTTGCTGCATCCCATAAGTTTTGGTATGTTATGTTTTCATTTTGTCAAAAGAAAAAATCTGATCAATAAGTCAATTAGAGTTAAAATGTTGTATTGTGTGGAAAAAACTGAGAACAAGGATCACCCCTCCAAAAAGATGAGTTCATCACATTACAATTTTAATCAACTTATATAGGGTACAAATTTTTAGGGAATTTTCTAAAAGGGAAATTTAAAATAATTGGTTGTGATTCACTTAATCAGCAGGAGGTGACTTGGATTGGTTTATTAAGTTTGCTTGTCTGCATTCTAAAGGCTATTTATGGCTTATCTAATTATTTAAACTTTTCCCAGAACTGTCTTTATTACCAGTTTTAAGTTTCTGTGAAGGATTAAGAGCTAAATTTAAACAATGGGGGGCATTTTCTTTAACAATTTTCACTCACCTTAAAGCATTTTCTGATTTCCCTTTGGAATTCTTCTTTAACCCATTCAGAATGTATTGTTTAATATTTGTGATTTTGTTAATTGTTTTCTGTTATTGATTTCAGTTTTCATTCTATTGTGGTCCAAAAACATACTTTGTATGATTTCAGTCCTTTTAAATTTATTGAAATTTGTTTTATGACCTAGTATAAATATGGTGTGTCCTGGAGAATGTTCCATGTGCAGTTGAGAAGAGTGTGCATTCTGTTGTTGTTGGGTTGATTTTTCTATAAATGTCTGTAGGTCTAGTTGCTTTATAGTGTTGTTCACAACTTCTATTTCCTTGTTGATGATCTTCTCTCTAGTTGTTCTATCCATTATTTAAAGTGGGACACTAAAATCTCCAACTCTAGTGAATTTTTTATTTCAGTTATTGTACTTTTCAACTCCAGAATTTTTCTTTTTTTTAAATAATTTCTATCTCTTTAGTGATATTCTTTGTTGGATTTGATACTGTTATCATACCTTCCTCTTTTTTAATCATGATGTCCTTTAGTTCTGTGAACATATTTATAATGGCTACTTTGAATTTTTTTTCTGTTAAATCCAACGTCTGGCCACTTTCACTAGCAGTTTCTCTTACCTGCATTTTTATTTTTATTAGTATTATTATTTTCTGGTGTTTGGGTCATACTTTCTTGTTTATCTGCATGTCTTGTAATTTTCGGGAGGGTGAACTGGATATTTTAAACAATATATTGTAGAATTCTGGGTATTGATCCCTACTCTCCAGGGCTTGTTATTTTTATTTGCTTGGTGTTTTTTTTTTTTTTTTGCTTAGTGACTGGTGGGTTATTTAAGTGAAGTCTATTACTCCCGTCCCCCAACAGTGTTAAGCCTCCAATGTTGCTCCCGAGGTGCAGCTTTGGTTACTCCCACAATAATTCTGAGATGACAGTGGTTTTGATAGGGCTGTCTTCCACTCTTTTCCCTGACCACACCCAGCTATTTAACTCCACTAATTGCTAGTCAGTTGCTCTACTGTTTTCAATGATACCCTAGGGCATAAATTCCTCTAAAAACTAATCCAATAAAATTGTGACTCCTTGGAAGGAATTGTTCTGAGATCAGTGTTTGATATTTGTTCTGACTCCAGGTGCTCCTCCTAGCTACCTTATTCCCTGGTTCTCTTCTGCATACTACAGTCTAGGCTGTATCTTCGTTGTTGTTGTTTGGTGCTGTAAAGTCGGCTCCAACTCATAGCGACCTTTTGTATGACACCTGGTCCTGTGCCATCCTCAAAGTCATTGCAATGTTTGAGGCCATTGTTGTGGCCTCTATGTTAATCCATCTCATTACTTTACCAAGCTTAATGTCCTTCTCCAGGGTTTGGTCTCTTCTGATGACATGTCCAAAGTAAGTGAGATAAAGTCTCACCATCCTTGCCTCTAAGGAGCATTCTGGCTGTACTTCCTCCAAAACGATTTGTTCACTCTTTTGGCAATCTATGGTGTATTCAATATTATATGACAACAACACACTTTGAACGTGTCAGTTCTTTGGTCTTCCTTTATTATTGTCCATCTTTCACATGCATATCAGGCAACGGAAAAGATCACGCCTGGGGTCAGGTGCACCTTAGTCCTCAAAGTGACATCTTTGCTTTTTAAGATTTTAAAGAGGTCTTTTGCTGCAGATTTTCCCAATGCAATATGTCATTTGATTTCTTGACTACTGCTTCCATGGGCACTGATTGTTGATCCAAGAAGAATGAAATTCTTGACAACTTCAATTTCTTTGCTATTTATCATAATGTTGTTTATTAGTTCAGTTGTATGGATTTTCTTTATTTTCATATGTAATCCATACTGAAGAAGTCTTTTACCTTCATCAGTAAGTGCTTCAAGTTGTCTTCACTTTTGGCAAAGAAGGTTATGTCACCTTCATATCTCAGATTTTTAGTAAGTCTTACTCCAATCCTGATGCCATGTTCTTCAAATAGCCCAGCTTCTTGGATTATTTATTCAGCATATAGATTGAATAAGTAAAGTGAAAGAATACAACCTTGCTGCACACCTTTACCAATTTTAAACCACACAGTATCCCTTAGTTCTGTTTGAATGACTGCCTCTTGGTTCATGTGTAGATTCCGCATGACCACAATTAAGTATTCTAGAATTCCTATTCTTCACAGTGTTATCCATAATTTATTATCATCTACACAATCAAATGCCTTCACGTAGTTGATAAAACACTGGTACACATCTTTCTGGTATTCTCTGTTTTTGGTCAAGATCCATCAGATATCAGCAATGATATGTATCTTTTGTTTCATGTCCTCTTCTGAATCTGGCTTGAACTTCTGGCAGTTTCCTGTTAATGTATCGCTGCAGCCATTTTTGAATTATTTTCAGCAAAATTTTGCTAGCATGTGATATTAATGATATTGTTTAATAATTTCCTCATTCTGTTTGATTGCCTTTCTTTGGAATGGGCACTAATGGATTTCTTCCAGTAGCCTGGCCAAATAGCTTTCTTCCAAATTTCTTGACATACTTGAGTAAGCATTTCCAGCGTTGCATCTGTTTGTTGAAGCATCTCAATTCCATCAATTCCTGTTTTTTGCCAATGCCTTCGGTGTCCCTTTCACTTGTTCCTTCAGTACTAGCAGTTCTTGATTATTAGATCAAGATCCACAAATATCTCCCCAATTACCTTTCATTACAACTTCCACTGTTCTTGCGAGTGCCCTTAGTTTAAACTTCTCCATACTGTGTTGCAAATGAAGTCAGTTTCTTTGGGAAGAGATTAGGAGCTATTTGTGTTACAGCTTGCTTCTCTAAATTTCATTCTCAAAATCTTTGAGGCAGGGCTCCAGAGCTTGGGATGGGGACAATAGCAAACATCTCTCTGAGTGACACCTCCACTATAGGGGCTGAGTGCTCAGTGGAAGGAAGTCACCAGCCGGGATATTCTTCACTTGCCTCTCCTGGTGTGGAATCACCACCTTATGAACTGAGGGGAGGGCTATTGGGGCTCCAGTAGTCTCAACATTCCATGCCCAATGTAGAGCCTCCATTCCATGAGTAGGGGGTGAGTAGAAGGGAGCCTCTACCCCTTGACTGCATTTTCCTGGACTTAACTTCAGAAACAGGCAGCTGGGGGCAGGATGAGAAATGCTGAAATACTGGTTGTCGCAGGAAGAAAGCCCCCCAACTGGGAACTGGTGGGAGGGGGTGCCCTGTGTTCTTGTCTGCAGTAGTCTGAACTCACTAAGCTGGCAGGAGAGGAAGAGAGTGGTTTTGGTTTGTTAAAATAATTTTTTTTAACAAAACATTAATTTTGTCTGAACTCATTGGCTTTGTTTAGCAATTCATGAACTGGGGAGTGTCTAGTTTGAAAGTCAGACTACAGCTCCGAAGAACGTACAAAGCTGAAGGGTTTTATAGGCAATAGGCACACAGGAGCAAGAAGCTATACTGGGCAAAAATTGATTGGTTAGTTCTAAGTTACTTTTTTATATGATATACTGGGAACTTTTGTAGCCAGGTCATATACTATAGCTGAGGTGACAAACGTGGGTTGGTTGACTTAGGTTTTGGCTTTTGGGAAGGTCACGCACTTACAAAAAATAGAAACTTAATTAGGTTTCAGTTAGCTATGTGTGGCTTAGCATAAGGGACTCCATCATGGGCCTAGTATAGTTGGGGTAACTCCCCTCTTTTGATCATACTCTCGGTTCAGTGAGAGGTATGATCAATTTTAAGATAAGGCACTACTCCCGGTCACCACATTGTCATCCAGGCAAGGTGTCTGCTTAGTATTTGCAGGTCACAGTATCA